GTGTCCTCTTGTGTGCAAAGTCATTTACCATCATCAGGCTTTTTAATGAGAATAAATATCCGACAAAAACACAAATAATCCTGCATTGTCCCAGCTTAAGAAAGTATCTTTGCTCATGAGTTAACACCACAATAATCTCATCAATCATAAAAGTCCTAAAAGTGTTCTGTTATTCTTTAGATCTCGGTTGGATCCAAAAGCATCAAGACCAGCTGCAGAGCTTTATTACGCCCTCCTTCCTGGGGGAGATCTTAAACCACATGAGAAACCTGGATGTGCTCAGTTCAGCTGAGGAGACCAAGGTCAAGGAAGCAGGCCGACTGCAGGATCAGGTTAACATGCTCACCACTATTGTCACTGCCAAGGACAGTCAAGGCTCTGACGTCCTTCAGGGTTTTATAGAGAGCTCAGATTCTCAGGTTGCCCAGCTCATCATTAACCACGGTAAGAGGCTGCTACTCTCTGTCCTGTGTAATTCTTTAAAATGGTCATGGGGGGTAAGTAGCTCAGGCAACGAGTCTGGAGGAACGAAACTGCAAAGAAAATAAATCAATAAAATAATATTCTGTAAGTTCTGTCTGGCTCTGCCGAATGTTTCTTCCTGTTAAAAGGGAGTTTTTCCTTCCCACTGTCGCCAAAGTGCTTGCTCATAGGGGGTCATATGATTGTTGGGTTTTTCTCTGTATGTTTTATTGTAGGGTCTACCTTACAATATAAAGCGCCTAGAGGTTACTGCTGTTGTGATTTAGCGCTGTATAAATAAATTTGAATGGAATTGAATTATTTGCCATTTTTGTTTACTAATTAATAATTTTTAAAATGTTTATTTGTTTACTTGCTTGCATATGGAAATATGTATATGAAATGTAGATATTAATACTTTTTCTGCCAGTTTGGTTCCTCCATAGACGTGCGGCTTTTACAAGTGTTTCTATAGTGTTTAGTGTATGATTGTGTAAGTTTAAATGCAAAGCACTTTTCACTCACTAGGATCAAACTTAATACAAAGTTACTCTTCCATATTAGTGTCCTTTTTCCAGAGAATAACCGATGTGAATTTCTTTTGTTTTTGTCTGTAGATGCCATGGTAAAAGAGCACAAGGAGGTCCTCTTACGCCGATATGAACAGTACAGAGACAGAGACTCAATCAGCTGCCCCAGACTTAACATCTCATCAAGAACCTTACTACTTGTCGATGGACTTTCTGACCTCCAACAAAAGGAGCATGACCTGATGCAGGTGGGAGTGACTCGAGGAGAGAAAAGAAATCATCTTAGGCAGCTGGGGTTAGCAAAATTGTTTGAGCCCCTTACCCGAGTCAGTATGCCCCCTAGGGTCTCCCTCACAGTTGGGGTAGCTGGTATCGGCAAAACAACCTGGGTGAGACACTTTGTCCGGCAGTGGTGCCAAGGGATCATCTGTACAGACATAAACTTTGTGCTACCGTTCACATTTGCCGAGCTGAACTTGCTGGACAAGCTTTCTGCTGAGAGGCTGGTGAAAATGGCTTTTCCTCATATATCTGATCCCAGTCTGGTCCTGAACAGCTCCTGTCGGACTCTGCTCATACTTGATGGTTTGGACGAATTCCGCTGCAAATTAAATTTTTCCGACGCAGCTTCTTGCAGCGACCCAAAAAAAGAAGTGCCTATTGACGACTTAGTTACCAACATCATTCGAGGGAATCTGCTTCCCGATATAGCAGTCTGGGTGACTTCCAGGCCAAGAGTAGCTTCCCTTATCCCCGGAGGTCTGGTTGACAGGGTGACTGAGATCCCAGGATTTAGTCCTAAGGATATAGAGATCTTTCTGAATCACCATTTCTCTGAGAAGGATTTTGCCAGGAAAATATGGTCACACTTGGAATCCAATAAGATCTTGATGGTGATGTGCTACATACCCTGCATTTGCTGGATAGTAGCTGATACTTTGTTATACATCATGCAGAATGAAGCACAGGAGAGTCTTCCGAGGACTTGCACTGAGCTGTATGCCAATTTCTGTTCAATGAAAGCAGAATTGGGCGAACCAAGAGGCAGAGAGCCTGTAAAAACGGAGCAACTTCACGGGAGCAATCGGAAACTGCTGGGGAATCTCGGACGACTGGCTTTCTATGGGCTTCTTAAACACAAGTATGTCTTCAGTGAACAAGACCTCAAGAACTATGGGATTGAGCTACTGCTGACTCAAAGCAGTCTCGGTTCTGGAGTTCTTGTTCGAGAGGAGTCAACCATCAACACGACGTTCCGCTTCACACATTTGACTCTGCAGGAGTTTCTTGCAGCTACCTTCTACCATGTTTCCTCAAAGCGGGCAATCTTTGACTTGTTCTCTGAGAGCTCCATGTCCTGGCCCAAGATTGGTTTCCAGAACCACTTCAGAAGTGCCTTTCAGCACTCACAACAAGCTGAGGATGGTCACCTGGATGTGTTCGTACGCTTCCTAACAGGCCTGCTGTGCTCAGCTGCAATCAAACCTCTTGCTGGACTTCTGGCCCTTGGGAAAGACGATGGCAACAACAAGGCATGGGCAGCAGGGTTTTTGCAGGGTCTGTTGGTCAGCGGGGGTGCTGTGGTCTCCCTGCGTGCAGTCAACCTAGCTTACTGTTTACAGGAGCTGCAGCACACAGAGATGCTGCGGAGCGTAGAGGAGGATTTACGGCTCGGCAGTCTAGCGGGAAAGTTAACGCGGCCTCACTGTGTGGTGCTGGGTTACCTGCTCCACGTGTCTCCGGAGTGCAGCGAACAAACCAACCTGACAGCCTCTCTGAACGCCTCGACAGTGAAATGTTTGCTCCCGCAGCTGCTGTACTGTAGGCATCTAAGGTGAGCTTCTCAACCCAAATACATCCAATAAAAGGAAAACTCCAGATTCAGTGGTTTTATCTGCTCATCAGGTTGGAGAATAATCACTTTAAAGATGATGTCATGGAGTTGCTGGGAAGTCTCCTGAGTGCCAAAGACTGCCATATCCAAAAAATAAGGTGAGTCTTTTTTGTGGTAAAGCATCATACGAGGAACAATTGTTGTTCTGAACAACTGTATCACATCAAGCTGCTTTATAAACTCAGACAAACAGCGGAGCTTTTAAATGAAGTTATGATTGACCTTGCTGATTACTCTCAGTGGTTGTGTGATTGTATGATTGGTGAAAGTATAATTGTGGTTGTAATTATTATTAATACTCGAACAACATAAATACAATTTCTTTTATCCCTCCATCAGTCTGGCGGACAATGCCATCAGCAACAAAGGAGCCAAAGCCCTGAGTCGAGCCCTCTTGGTGAACCGCACGCTGACTTCTCTCAAGTGAGATCTGCAGTGTTTGATGTCTGAATGAACAAATAAAACCTCTTGAGTTCAGTATTTCCAATTATCTGTATATAAAGCTGCTGCCCCCAGGTCTGGAAAGTATATTTTATGGTGTCAGTAGCTAGTTTTAATTCATTTATTACAGACACTCAAAGCCAAGTATGCTCTAGAGGAGCTATTCCCAGTCAAGAGTGCTGTGACCCATTTAATAAAACAGGAAATCCCATGGTGCCCCCCCAATCTTAAATCTTCACTCTAATCAAAATACAGGAGTGGGAGTATTAAGGCCAATAGGTGATCCACCTGCCACTGGGACACAAGCGTCAATAAAAGAGCAGTGAATTTAGGTCAGAGTAATATCACTAATAACCACCTCCAAGTACCAGTTTTAATTCACTTTTTATTTAAATCAATTAATATAAATAAGTAACTGTACATTATTATGAGTCATTTCAAACTCAATTTCTTGGGAATCACTGCTCTAGAGCTTGGCTAGCTGTTAGTGTGCAGGGTCTCAGTTTCTCTTGTGTCTAGATTCAAAAACTAAGATGGCAGTGGATAAATTGCTCACACTAAAGCTTTAAAAGATGAGTAACCATGACAACATGGGGGCTACTTCCATCTTTTATATACAGTACATAATGTTTTCCAAAAACAGCACCTTGTAATAAAAAATGAGTAATCTGAAATGGGAAAAGGCTTTTAGTTTTGATGTAGTGTAGTCATTCAAGAGTTGATCATAATACTACATAATAATAATGCTAAACCTGCATCTTATAATTTACATCTTATTACTGCTAAGTAGAGTTTTAGTAAATCATCTAATGACCTGTTTATGTTGTTTTAGTCTTCGGAATAACAACATCGGCTCCAAAGGTGCAAAGTTCCTAGCAGAGGCTCTGAAAATGAACCAAGTCCTGACATCAATCAAGTTGAGTATAATTGCTCTACAGCTTAACTGCCACACACAGAATTCCAGTTTATTGATTGTAGTTGGTGTATTTGCTCAATTTCCCCGACTTCTCATCAGCTTTCAGAACAACGCCATCGAGGAGGAGGGTGCTCAGTCGCTTGCAGAAGTGCTGCAGTGCAACCGCAAACTGGTGTCTCTGAAGTGAGTTTGGTCTTGTTTACAGATGTTGTTTTAATGAATGTCCCGTAGATTAATGTGCATCTTTTTTTTTTAGTATACGGAAGAATACAATCGCAGCAGGTGGAGCCAAAAGGATTGCAGAAGCACTGAAGACCAACCGGACTCTCACAAAGTTGATGTAATGCAGAATTAATATTCATTCAGTGATCTTGGAGATAATGTACTGAACTTCTAGGCCAGAACATTTAAAGACTAAAAGTTAATCATTACTTCTTCACATTTTTGCAGATTGATGATGAGGTGTACAGTTATGATAGCTCATTGACACACTTGTTTGTTACTAGGCTTCATTTGATCTTGTTTACCACCACACCTGAACCTGGTTCACATACTGATAACTCGGGTTTTCTTTCTCCTAATGTGTCGGGTGTATTTGTGTTCTTGTCTGCAGTCTTTGTGGTAATCAGCTTGGGGATAAAGGGACGGTAGCTCTGGCCGAGGCTTTGGCGGTCAACCACACTCTTCTCTCACTCCAGTTAGTATCTTCTGCCCATGAGTGCAATGCAAATGCATTTTAATAGTGTGGGAAGTGACATTTCAGTTCATGCACCACAGAAGGGGAAATGGTGTTTGCTTTGAATGCTATTCATTACAGCTGCATTTAACTTTTCATCTCTTTTCATAGACTTCAGAGTAACTCGATCAGCAACAAGGGCATGACAGCCTTAACCAAAGCACTGAGGCTGAACCATGGCCTTGTCTCCTTGAAGTAAGGACCAAGCTTAAAGTTTCACTCTGTTTCCCTGTTTGTATTTGTGCATTAACCCAAGAATATTTTGTCTTTTTTGGGAGAACGTGATTTTCCAACAAGCAGCTGTCAGTTAAACTCAGAAGAGAGTTACTTTAGCAAAGAAATTATTTAAAACGCTGATGCTATTTTGAGCTTTAGGAGACCAATCAGTGATCAGGGTCAGTTATTTGTCTTACTTAGCTTCAGTAGGCATCTTGAAGTCCATGCAAGCTTTTCCTCAAGCTTTTCTTTCTGTGCAGATTAATTTTATTAGCACTGAAGAAAGTTAGCATGTTGGTTCCCTCTGCACCTCCGACTCTTTATGTATGGCTAATTAGCTGCAGATTTTGGTTCAACAGAATAAAGTTTAAATGATTTTACAGTTACAGAAGTGCACATGTTTTGGACAATTACAGTTTTTTCCCATTATTTTGCCTCTGTACACCACTACAGTGGATTTTAAATCAGTCAAGATGTGATTACAGTTTAGACTTTAATTCAATTGATTTAATTTTATTTACTATTTAGGAATTATAGCCATTTTATATATAGTCTACCATTTTAAGAAGCTCAAAATTAATTGGACTAAACTAAAAAAATTAAATAAAAAGATTGTTTTTAATACTTGGAGGAAAATCATTTGCAGTCAATGAGTACCTGCAGGCATCACCAAATGCTGTTTCCTCCCTTTTTATTTTTACTTTTTCAGAACTGTGCAGTTTCTTTTAGAAGTTTCCTGGCGAAGGCTACGTTAGCGTTGTTATTCTTGAGTGTAGTTATTTGCACCTTCATTTTAAACCCTCTCTATTTCCATTCATGAAGGCATGTGTTTACTGCAGACTGATATTTATACGCCTACCTCCTTGAAAAACAGTTTTGACTTGGTTAGATGTTTTAAAGGTGTTTGGGGTTTTTTTTTTCCTTTAACCATGGAAATAATTCTGTCATCATCCACTTTAGTTGTCTTCTGTGGTTTTTCTGGGTTTTTTTGTTGTGGAGCAGGGGGGCTTTGCATAAAGATGGCTGTAATTCCTGATTATTTAAGGCACAACTTTTGTTAAACACCTTAAAAGAAAACTGAAAGTCTGCACATCATCCACACTTGATTATTTGATATAAAATCCACTGATGTGGTGTGCGGAGGCAAAATGACAAATATTGTCTCGCTCTTCAAAAACCTATAAAACTAACTGCATCATATGTGCAGTATATCTTATCTGTTAGACACATGTGATCAGTATTCATATTTTGTGTCTCAAAAAAGGGAGTAAAAAAAGCCTCTCTTTGGAAAAGGTTTGCCAAATTGACAGTATCTTGGCATTTTAGTGGCTGTAAAGTTGTCATGCTTGTGTCTTATGTCACTTTTCATGTGTTTTTCTGTCTATTTAGTCTGAGGGAGAACTCCATTGGGGTAGAGGGAGCAAAGAACATGGCCCATGCCCTCCATGAGAACAACACTCTGCAAGACCTCGAGTGAGTCAGCTCATTAATAGTAGTACAGTATCATCCCTCACAGAACTGCGGGAATACCCGACTGTTCAGTAAATGTCACTCCCCCAGATCATGCCCTGTCATACAATACTGCTGCATGATGAAAAGCACAAAAACTGCGAGATAACTGTTTGTATTGTGTAGCTCTTTGAGGTAATGTGGGGACATTTCCAACCTACTGCAACACTGAGAGCAGCAGCCATATTCTAGTGTTATAATACTTCCTGTAAACACCTTTGTCCAGTGTTATTTTCAAAACTTGAAGCTTCTGTGAAAGCAGACATGTTGAAAACGCTCTGACAGTCTTTGCATTACATACAACAGTGCTCATATTTGTGTTTTTGTTTGCATATTTGTGTGTTTTCCAGTCTCACAGCCAACCTTTTGCATGATGACGGAGTTCAAGCTATCGCTGGTGCAATCAAGTTTAATCGAGGCCTGACCTCCTTGCAGTAAGTGGAGCTTGAATCGGAAATAAACACATCCAAACAGATACACACAAGTCTGAGAGTAGAAGTGGGAGTCTGCACTGCACAGCAACCGATGCATTCTCAGTGATGTAATAAAGTTCTAGTGAACAAAGCAGGATATTTATACCTACATCTTTAAGCACACACTCTACCCATAACCCTGATAAGGACAAGTGGAAGAGAATGAATGGTTAGAGTCTTTGATTCTGAAATGTGGTTGAGCAGAAATTTGAGCTAAATCAAAATAGTAAAGTAAACGATTTGGTTCTTATGTAGCACTTTTCTACTTGAGCTTTTAAAGCGCCTCATTCAACCATATGTTTTCGACACCTAAATGCTTTCTGTCTAAGATTCACACGTTGATGGACACATTGCAGAGCAACTTTAAGGTTCAAGTATACTTCGGCATGCAGAGTAGAGCATCCAGGGATTGAACCAGCAACCTGTTTAATAGATCTTTAATGAATTCAAGTGTATTTGCTTCATACTGGGTCTCTTCTTTTCCTCTCTATTCACAGTCTGCAGTGGAATTTCATCAAGTCCACGGCCACTAAAGCTCTGGCCCATGCACTCCTCTCCAATTCCACAATGCAACTCCTGGAGTAAGACCAATAAACCTTTTTCACTCCTTTGTTTGTAAATATATCGATCTCACCCAAAATTTCAAAACTCTTTCCTCAAAGCCTGCGCTGATATTACTTTGAGAAAATGACTCGCTCCAGGCTTTGAGTGAACATATTTCATCAGCAACCATGCAATTATGTAAAACTTTATTCGCAAGGCTTTATTGTTATTCATAGCAGTTTCTGTGTGTGCTTCTATCTCCATTCTACAGTCTTCAAGAAAATGCTATCGGGAATGAAGGAGTCACTTATCTTGCTGAGGCTCTGAAAACCAACACGTCACTGCGCACTTTATGGTTGGCATAACGATCATGTCCATCGACAGATCAATCATTTTTGTGGTTGTGGTGGTTGTGACCCTTTTGTGTGACATCTCTTCAGTCTTCAGGGAGTCTCAGCCGGGACGAGTGGCGCCATTAAAATGGCAGAAGCTCTGATGACCAACCAGACCCTGCAAACATTAGAGTGAGTACAAATTTTACCTTGTGTCAACCTTTCCTTTGTTTTAGCTGCATATCATTGACACGCTCTTCGGCAGTTCAGCTTTGTCAGTTAAAGTTGGCCTAATCAACACCAGAGTGAAACCAAGCAGCACTCGTTAACTTCTATCTGAAACTAACTGCTAGTCTCTTATCTGTCTGCTTCTAAAGATAAATAGCTTTTGATTGGTTCCTGTTATGAACTTTGTTTATCTTCATTTGAGAATCCCAGCATGCAATTTGAATTTACTGATTGCAGTCTGGCAATGTTGTGTCTGCTTGAGGTAGATATTATTTTAAGAAGGCAGTTGGTTGTCTCTAACAGATCACTGACAAGTCACGATTGCGATCACTAGAGTGCTAGATCACTAGAGATCAAATGAGTGCGCCTCCCTGGAAATGTTCGTTATTTCCAAATGTTAAACAATAAAAGTGATGATTCATCAGAATACCTCCAGACCTTCTCTTTGTGAATAATGTGAGAAAATTCACCAACTAATCCTCAGCCAGATTGAGACTATTTAAGCTCTCATGCTGCTTGATGATTAAATGACTCAGTGTGTTTTAATGGCAACTTTACTTTTCTTTATTTTTTTTCACATGTAATGACTTGTCTATATTATTGTTGATTTACATTCACTCTGATTTTATAGAGTTAAATTTAAACATACCATAACAATATTACAATACATACAGCCATGTGAAAAAGAAATGCAATAATCCCAGTAATGTGAAAAACACCGAACTGCTTCTATAAGACTTAAGAAGGCAGGTGCTGCTAATCAAATACACTTGATTAACTGATCATCAGCAAGTGCGAGCACCTCTGTGAAAGCAAAGGTTTTGGCATTTTGCTGGTTTGGAGAATTCAGGTGTGTTAACACAATGTCACAGTCTTCCCAAGAGTGAACAGCCCACCAGTTTTCCCTGAGGTCAGACCATGCAGTGCTCAAGGAAACTGCAAAACATACCAAGAGCTACATCACAGACTCTACAGGCCTCAGTTAAGCATTAAATTTCATGATAGCGCAATGATAACAAGATTGAACCAGTGTGGCTTGTTCGAAAGCGTTGCCAGGACGACACCTCTTCTCTTTAAGAAGTTGCACAGGTTAGGATAGTAAAGTTGTATTTGAACAAACCACAAGATTTCTGGGACTTTGGACCTCATTTACTAACAATGTGCAACCAAAAATCCAACCTTGTGTACAGACAAATTAAAATCTGGCTGTCGTAGGAAATTTCTACCCCACTTTTCATTTTTCTTTTAAACTGTTGAAAACACTCTGGAAAGCTGTGCCTTTTCCTCTTTGGACAATTGTTTAAGTTTCTTCAGTTGGATTTTCTCCTGTTTTCCTCTTTTAGTGGTGCACGGTTCTCTCTTGCAAGATAGTAACTGCTTTCTCTGCTTTACCTGGAAGTACTAGAGTTGGATGTCTTGACTGGTCTCAAGACCACTTTTACGTGGTCTTGATCTTGTCTCGGTCTCGACGGACTTTGGTCTTGTCTTGGTCTCACTGTCTTGATCTTGCTGTCTAATGTGTCATGCGCAAAAGCATCAGCTCTAAGAGCCGTGCTTTGTAGTGAATCACAAGAGTCGACTCCCAGTAAGCGAGAGCCGGCTCCTCACTTAATTTCCTTTCACTGCTCAGCTCTCACACAGTGGCTCAGCTATGCTCCAATCCCTCCATATTGTGGCCAATCACATGCAAGGATATAGGATAATATCATTATGTGAAAAACAGAGAGGGTGAGAGACGCGGCAGTCAAGTGGAGTCTGTCTTCCCAGTAAGTGAGTGAGACAGTAGACAGCGGTGAGGAGGGCTGTGCGAGTGCATCGCAAAAACACATAAATATGCCCGACACCCGTAAACGAATCAGCATCTGGCTGCAGTTTAAAGACTTTTTCGTCTCGGTCTTTGTCTCGTCTCAACTTTGTCTTGGTCTTGACTCGGTCTGTCTTGGTCTCGGTCTTGTCTTGGTCTCGATACCCTCTGATCTTAGTATTGTCTTGGTTTAGGCGGTCTTGACTACAAGTCAAGCACGTACGCCTGAATGACATGGAGACGTGACAATATCCAGATTTTATGGAGATTACAAAAGCCTCTTTGTTTATAAAGAGTCTGATTTATCAACATATAAACTGTGGTAAGAATAAAAACAAGCTGGTGCACATGTTTCTTAAATCTAAGAGTAATTTTGCATAGCCACTTGTTTGTTTGAATAGAGTAAGAACTCCACGCACATTAAATGAAGCCCCTTGTCCTTTAAACAGAAAAGACCAAAGTGGAGATGTTTGGCCACAATGCACAGAGTAACATTTGGGGAAATTTGAACACAGCACAAACACTTCATAACAACTGTCAATCACTGTGTTGGAGGGATGGTGATTTGGCCTTGTTTTGCAGCCACAGGATCTGGACACCTTGCAGTCCTTAGGTCAACCATGACCTCCTCTGTACCTGGAATAATTTTGGAATCAAATATGGGGACCAAAATGCTTCCACAGTGATGTGAGACACTGATAAAGTCATGCTGAAATGATTATTCCTGCTAGAGGTGACTCTACAAGTTACTGAAACATGCAATGTAGTTAGTTTTTCATCAGTAATTTGGCATTTTTATTGATCTTATTGTCAATTTAAAATGTAAAATCTCTGATTATTCAATTGGCTTTTTTTGCAGCAGTGAACAAAGATTGGTCAGCGGATTTTAGAATGAGTTGGACTGCTTCTTATTTGCTGAAGTAACCAATACAAACTTTCTTCATTAGTGACTTTTTATCTCAAGATTTTCTTGATGGGTTTGTCATAACCTTTCAGGAACTTCACTAAAAGGATAATTAATATTTTTTTTGAAGCAACAAAAGAGACAATTAAAATACAATTGCCTCCAACAGAACAACGCTGTGCTAAAAAAACAGGAACAAAGAAGAATACACGTCAGCTATGGACAGAAAGTGTTTGAAAGATTTTCAGAAAGAAAACAAAATAAGCGTTCTGGTGCGTGAGCTCTCTGTGACTGCCATTTACATTTTATTTCTGCTGAGCATTGCGCACACAGCAGCTCATTGCAAATTGGCGTTTTTAGTCCTGGTAAACAATCAATTTCATCTGTCATTGGATGACACAAGAGAAAAGTGAGAAAAATGATAGAAGGCTCTACTTTGATGAGACGCTCACCTGGGTGGAGCTCGGCAACTCATTTTCCACTATGTTTTTCAGTCTGCGTGGGAACACTGTAGGAATGGAGGGAGCCAAGGCCCTGGCCAACGCCTTGAAATCCAACAGAAGCCTCAAGGCGCTGAAGTAAGCACAACTGGAACTTCATTTCATGACATAAACTACATTCGTATATTAAACCTGTGGTAGAAAAGTAAATGCAGCTGCTGATTTCATGCTGCCTGATTTATCTGTTCAATCAGGGCTGAAGTTTATTCTCCCACACTCTCCTCCGCTGTTCATCCATTATTTGGTTAGCTGCAAATAACCCCAGCTACAGAGATGCATGTGTGCTGAACTCCCTGTTTTTGTTTTTGTTTTCTTCTGGAATCCAACAGTCATCAATATCCAGACCTTTACATTTGAAATTTAGAGAGTTACTCACAGATATCGCTACATTTGATCAAAAAATAAATCTTCTGTGTGTGATTCATCAGTCTGCAGGAGAACTCTCTGGGCATGGACGGAGCCATATTCATTGCAACAGCTTTGAAGGGAAACCACCAACTGACATACATCAAGTAAGTTTTCTTTTACCGTTTATTTATTGTTATTTACCTCTTTATCGATTTGTCGTATTAAAACTGTTCCTTCAGTTTGCAGGGAAATGGCATTGGAGAATCTGGAGCTAAAGTCATATCTGATGCTATAAGAGCCAGTGCCTCCGGCTGCGTGGTGGACATCTAGCCCACCAGAGAGAGCAGCCGTCACTGAGGAGGGTCATGCTACCAGCACGGGGATAACAGCTGCTGTTGTTATACAAAGCAGATGTAAACTATGTAATTTAACTCATTCTGTATAATAGTTCTGACAAGTTATTTGGTGCATTGCATTTTTATATAGATTCTGTAATATTTATTAGGTGACTAAACAGCTGTTTTGAAGCTGCAGTTCAGCTTTAGACAAACACTTGAGAAGCACAATATGTAATGTAATAAACACACATTAAGCTCAGGAAGTTAAAGTAGAGCAGAATTCCTCCATTAAGATGCCATTTTGTACATTTGCTCTGTTTGCACAATTAAATGTGGCAAAAAAAAAAAAAAGTAAGTTATTTCAGGAGGACCAAACTGGTTTTATGACATTTGTTTTTCTGTTTGGTTTATTATGCCTGTCTTACAAGTGTTAAATACCAGAAATACTGACATGACACAAATACACTCCAACTGAGCAGAACTGAGTAAAACCTTTTATTTATTCCAATGTTTCTTGTTGCAGTCGACCTTACTGGAAATGAGGCTTTTGGCTATTTTAAGCCTGCATGTTATAGATGCAGTTATTATGATGTTTGGAGCCTCTGAAGACAATGAACTGAGAAGGAGAACATGTATTTAAAATTGTAAGAAGAAAATGATCTGTGTCCTTTGACCCATATTTAATAGTGCTTTGTGGACCATCCAGTTCATTATTTGTCTTGGCTTGTTTAGCTAGCACCTCAGTGTGCCAATAACAGCATATATACATATATATATGGACTTAATTGAAACGGTACCTGTTAATAAATGTATTATATACATGAAGAATAAACTTGACAGTCTGTGGTCATTTAAATGAAAATTCTTAGATTCTTAGATCAACAATTGACAAACACGGGTTCCTTAGGGAGCTGCAGGTGGAGCTCTGACATCTCAGGTCTGATGTGATACTCAAGTGAGTATGTACTGTCATGGTGCCAAGATCTAAAGAGCCTTCGAAGAAAAAGCTGTGGATAGTGAATAAATGACTGTGTAGAAAAAGCAGGGGCAACAGTTTCCAACAGGAAGAAGAGTAAGAATTGACTGAAGTGTCCATTGCAGGAAAAACGGTATAACAGTGGGACAACACAATGAGTAAAAAGACAAAAGTCTGTGTCAGTTTAAATACTGCCAAGTGTAAATGAGTGCAGATTTATCTAAACTGTGCTAGTCTCCCATTATCCAGACCTCCCACAGTGACAGGTGTGGAGTCAGTCAATACTTGAATATTTTCCAGTTACAGAAGTTGCCTTGTACACTGCAGGTGCAGTACAAAAGCATTTATCTGCACTGATCACAATTTCAAGCTGTTCGAATGTTCTTGTGAATTACACCCACTGCATCAACGGCATCCTAGTTGCAAAGCCAGCACAATGCAATCTAGCTCATTAAAGAACTTGTTAGTCAAATTCTTGATTTTGAGTAAAGGATCAAGAGTTTTTTTTAAAGGTCAGTGTTCGTCTTCTACTCAGATTATACAGCTGAACCCCACAAGAGGCAACATTTTCCTTTTGTCCCCGGAGCTCCGCACATGTACGGCATTGAAAAGTGCAAAATTATTATCGGTATTCTAACTCAACAGCCTACTCTCTTTTCATCTTTCCTCAACACAGAGATAACAATTCAGACAGGCATTTCGAAATTACATCAAAAGGGGGAAAAACAGGCAGCAGAATCAAAAATATGAAAAGATGCCAAAATGCTCTCAGAGAGTTCGTGCTCAGGCAACCTTTAGTGTTGTTTATCTCTTGGGATCATATCAGTGCAATCATTTCTTCTTCTTCTTTTTAACAGAGAACAGTCATGAAAGCTCATAGCTGTCATGGTCTCATCATCGGTCTCGATAGAGTGGCTAGTTTGTTTTCTTCTTGTGCGTGTGTGGGAGTTTGTGTGCATCATGCACATTGCTATCCACCTGTGTTTCTAAAACTCTTACTTATGGCTATTTATGACTCAGTATGTGATTTAATATTTATTTTCATAATTAAAAGAGTGCATGTTTTGTACCATCATCAAAACTGTATCTTCATAACTCAGCAATACACAAGATGAGGCGTCTAAATAAGAATAAAAAAACAAACAAAAATCTCTCAACGCTTGTTAAGCCCAAATTTCAAAAAGACATAAACTGTAATGAATGTAGTTGTGAGGTAATGCTTTACTTTAAGGTGGACATTGGTGAGTTACACCAGTGAGTCAAGCATTTCTGATCTGTTGGCACGTGGTGTTGAAGATAACATCTCCTGTGATGAAATATTCCTGCTTATGTATTACTGCTTAATTAATCCATCCATCCATTCAGCCTATTCCAGCTGTCTTAGGGCAAGAGGCAGAGTACACCCTGGACAGGTCGGGCTGTGCCATCAATTACTGTAAATTTAAATGTTATGATCATACAAAAGAGGGTTTATAGAGAATACTGTTAAATGTTCCATTTCTATGCCATATGTGGGAACAATTTCCAGAGTGTGATCACAGTGCTGTGTGGGCTCATTCACATTTTCAGAGAAACCAAGTGAGTCTAAAAATAGAATACATCCACTGTTAAGGCTCCTGCTTTCAGCATCTAGATGAATATTATAACTGTCCGCTGCTATTATTTTATCTAAACTGAGCACTAAACCAGATAAAAAAAAGACTGAGAAATCAGATGAAAACTCTGAGTAAGGGCAGGTGGATGATAGATAACAACAAACTACAACCCTTTGCCAGTGAGGGACAGGTCTAACAGTCAGGCTGTCAAATGAAGGCTTTCTATAGCTGACAATGTATTTATATAACACATAATACAATTAATATGCCCACACTTGAATGATTTGTGAAACTCATGATCTGATAAGAAAATAGAAGCCCTTATTTAAATGTTACTCTAACATTTAGAAGTACAAAGTGTAAAACTGATTATATATATTATATATAAGTTGTAAAGTTACTTACTCACTGATAAGTGACTACAGCTCAGAACACATGCTCATACAGAATTACTCATACCCTCAGCAGGGACCTTACCACCCTTGGTGACCACAGAGCTTATCCATGCCTAAAAATAGCCCTGGTTCAATTTGTCAGAAACTTCAACATCTGCCAGCATTCAGAGTCCAATAAGGTACTGACCTTCACTGAAAGAGACAACCATCATGGCTACTGTGCAGCATGCTTTATGTGGGTTCAAAGTAAACTCTAAGGATAAGTATGTGTTGTTATACAGCAATAGAAAGCTTTGGTAAATTCATTATACATCCTGCGCAATGATAATATAATAAGCAGTAATGTTAAAAGAACAACAAAAAGCTATAAAGTGTTAGCATTTCATTTGTCTTGTCACATTCTAGCATAGCTCTGCAAAGTATGTCAGTATTGTGATTACCAGAGCCCGCTGCCCACAGCAGGCAAGACTAATAATAAATGTCACAATAAACAATAAACCTCTCCATTGTGGCAGGGAGCACATGTCAGGCACACACACAGGTGAGGAAATTTATTATGAAACCATAGAGAAGCGTCCTGCAACAACAACATCTCTAAACGCACAAGTGTCAAGACAAACAATAACCCCAAGTACATACAGAAGACTAGAGCCTATTCAAATGCATATGCATATTTTTACCAGGTTTAAAAAAAACAAATTCACACAGCATTCAACAGTCAAGTACTGTTTTGTAGCAAAGATAGCACTGTGAAAATTCTGCTTAATAATAATGTTAAACCGCTCAGCAGCAGCTCACAAAGGCCTGAAGGGTTACATTCATTTGGGTGCACAAATATAATAACCCAAATGTGACTCTGTGTTCAGAGGTTTAGGTAATAAATCAGTTCTCAATGAACGAGGTGCACTCAAAGTGCTCAAAATGTCTGTGAAGGTATTCATTAGAGGAAGATTTGTAAGTCTCTTCTGCTGGACTAAAACCATGTTTTTAATTACAAGGTTGAAACTAAACAATCTGATGAGGCCAACAAAGGGAAAATTATAACAGATTTTAGGGGGATGAAACTTATTAATACTAAGCAAACTGGTGGTTAACAAAGTAATGCTTTTTTACTATTGTGATAGTTAATCACATTAGCTAATAGCTCATTTTGAAAAAAAGCACCATTTATTTAAGTATTGGTTACTACTATGTAATTTGGCTTGTGTTAGAATTTAATTAAATAACTAAAGCTTTTAAATAAATGGTTTGGCAAAAGCTCAATATTTGTTTGCAAAAATAAAGTGTAGCAGAAGCAAAAAGCAGCATAACATGGCAATATTTCAACATTTCAAAATAAAATAAAAAAAAATCAAAATTTATTTATATAGCACATATTAAAACAACAGTGTTGACCGTAGTGCTTCACAGTCAGTAAAAGCATGAGACAATTAAAACAAACAGGACAACAAACAATAGGTAACAACACAACAAGCTAGAACAGCCAACTAGTTAGAATCAAAAGCCAAAGTAAAAAGATACGTTTTAAGACGTGATTTGAAAGACTGGATAGACTCGGCAGTACGAATATGAACAGGGAGGTTATTCCAGAGTCTAAGTGCCACGGTTGCAAAGGCCCGGTCACCTCTCGACTTCCTTCGAGACCTAGGTTGTGCTAGGAGCCTGTGATTGGATCATCTAAGTGCTCTGTTGGGATTGTATAAGTGGAGTAGTTCAGAAAGATAGCTGGGCGCTAAATTATTCAGAATTTTAAAAGTGAACAAAAGAACATTTGTCCATCCAGTCCGAGACACGGTCAGTGACACCCTCAGCAGTTGTGAGTCACTATGGAAAAAATGTTTATTTTCTGACATCAACCAGTTGGAAAAAAATAAATCTCAGATTCTGGTTTGCTGGTGAGGGGCGGTATTGTACAAGTAGGGGAGGCATCATTGGGGCCACTGCCACCCCTGCCACTACTCTTGACACACCCCTGCTCCATGCTTCGATCTTAATCATCGAGCAAAATATGGACACAGAAATGTAATTACGTATGACTAAGACAATATACTACTCAAAAAGATTTGATAGTGTCACTTAATGTACATTTAATCAATGGATGCTTTGACAGCAAGAAAAGTAAAAATTTTCAAACAATTTGAGAAAAATAACATAGAGCTATATTCTAAAAATAACACCAAAGGAGAAATCGGTATTCAAAGGCAGATGGTGGGCAGGGCATCACGGATTACTCCGTGGAGCTTCAACTTGCAGTTTCTTCCACACACGCTCAGCACCAAACATCTCCACAGCCCACAGCGCATCTGAGAGCAGCGCAGTTCATTTCAAAAGGACGTAAAAGCTGTAAGTAAATACATGTT